ACACCAGCACTCCAACCCTCAACAGCAATCCACCTCCACTCAAAACTCATCCTCACCCTCACTAGCAGCAAATTCTCCCAGAACATCTCTACACTCTGTTGCATCTACACCCAAAAGACAGCCTCTTCACCGCATTTTATCCTCAGAGAGTGACAATGGCTTTCTGACATCTTCTCTTGCTGGAGATCTCACTTCAAAGCGCCAACCTACTCCTCCCAGAGGACCTTCGCCCAAGAAACCCTCTCTGCAGCAGACCAGAAGGCCTCCCATGCACAAGTCTAGGGGACTGGGAATGCCAGAGCCTGAAGAAACTATACCTCAGATTCCCTTCAACAAGTTTGTTGAAACAGCAGAAGAATTTGGTGGCCAAGTCCTCCAAGGCATGGACAAGCTCATCCAGATAAATGACAAGCACTTTGAGCACCTTGCTCATGTGAATGATAATCTCAATTCTGGGATGCAGTTTATCTCAGACCACTTTGAAAACCTCACAGTAACACTCCACAATTTCATGGCCTCCTCCTCTGCCAGAACAGATGCACTGTCAACACAAGTGGTAGGTATCCACAAGACCTTTTCTGTTTTTCATCAAACTCTTCTAAGTCAAGGACAGGCCATCATCACAATCTCAAAGAATCTTGAGGCACTGCACACATCTGACGCCAGAACTAAGAGGCAACTGATCTCCATAGAGGAAATGTGCAGAGCTCACCAAGATCAAGCTCAACATCTTCTCTCTGCTGACAGAGACAGATACCAGAAGATGGTACTGCTTGAAGCCAACAACAAGGACATCTTCTCTGCTATTCAGAAGCAGCAAGGACTAATAGAAGGCCTTACTTCTGTAACTCAGACCCTACCAGAGGCCCTTGAGCAGATAGCCTCCTCTTAGGCCTCAGAGTTTCAGAAGATCAGCATGATGCTAGAGGACCTAAATGATGCCAAAAAGGGGGAAGAGGACCCTCAACAGACTAGGCCTCGATCCAACAGAACTCCTGCTAGAACACCATCTTCTGCTGAACCAATAGTAGATCCTGCTCCTTACTTTGAAGCTGCCTTACAGTAAAAGAGAGCAGCAGGTATACCTAGACCCCCATCTCCAGCAAAGAAAAGCAACAAGAAGAAGAAAATCCTTAGCTTCACTGAATGGAGATTGGGTGGATCCCAGAGAATTGACAGAGCTCAATTTGAAGAAATGAAGGTAAAAATGACTCTCACCCAACAACAGAACCTCTTTCTGGATAAAGATGGTGTTGTACGAGTCAGATATGGGGGATCCTTAGAAGAAGCTGAAGAATGGTACAAGAAAAATATTGTCCTTGGCAAGACAGTACATGAAGGAGTTCTCAGCTATCTGGATTGCAAGCTTTCTCCCATATGGGCATCTTATCAAAGCTCTGGCAATTTATCTAAGATCAGAGCAGAAATTAATGAAGAACTGCTAAGGCTTCAAAGATTGGAGGAAGAAGCTCTGCAAGCAGCTACTATGGAGAATGTGTAAGAATTATTTCTGTAAAACATATCTAATAAAATCACATCTCTGCCTTTTCACTTTGTAAGGCTTTTCCTCAATTCCTGTCTCTTTGCTTTATGTCTGTGTTTGCCTTTTAATTATTATCTGCTATCTGAATGTACTGCACTCTTACTATTTTCCTATGCCAAGTTGCCCACCAAGATTTTAATGAAAGTTTTAAACTTTAATTCTTTATGGTGAAGGCACTTCTCTGGAAATAGTTAAAGGGTTTTGGCATCATCAAAAAGGGGGAAATTGTAAGGAATATTTGTAATTAGATTTTGATGATGCTAGATTAATTAGGACTTTAGAGTACCCCTCTTTAGACTTAATGTATTAGAATTTTCCTTTGTAAAATTCCTTAGCTTAATCGACTTAGCAGAAGATCTACAAAGAATAAGGCCTCCAAGGGCAGAAGACCCTTGATAAGGCATTAGTTGAACAGAGGACCTTTGGTTCTCTGCTTCAGAACAGAAGACCTCAGAGTCTCTGTTAGCCTTTACTCTGACAGAAACCCTCCTGGTTCTCTGTTGGATATATTCTCAACAGAAGTGCTCAAGACCTTCTCTGATCAACTCTCTGCTAAAGACACCAGAAGGCCTGACACTTAGAAGAATTCCACCAAGCCGGGAAATCAACTGAAAGATTCCTTCAACGACTAGGAGTATTGAACGGAAAAGCTACAGTGCGCGCATTAAATGCACATTTAATGCTCCCCATGCTCCGTAGAGTAATTGCAGATGATTGGCCGCAATGTCAGGATTACTTTATCCCAAAATAGTAACCCGCCAACTTTACCGGGTCCTACTGGTCAAGTCAACTGCTCGCTCATTTAATGCAGTTGTCTTCCTTCTCCTCCAACGGGAAGACAACCTCAGTATAAAAGATACACTACGAAGAACAACCAAATAGCTTTGCTAATCTTTGCTACAACTCTGCATATACAAGAAATTCAAACGCTACAAAGCAAAAAGCCTCCTTGAGATTAAAACTTCATCATCTTCTACAAGAGAAGGCAGAAGTTGGAAAAATCCTTATTTCCAACTCAAGCAAAGTTCCAAGTGTTCTTCAACTCTTCAAGCACATTACTTACAAATCCCTTGTAACGAAGCAAGTTGGAGGAACCCCTGTTCTAAATAGAACCTCTTCTTTCACAAGAAGGACGTCCAAGTACCTGGAGCTGTGAAGTGGTGATACTTCTGGGAAAGCTCAGTGAAAGGACCAGTCTTAGGGAAGCCAGAAGTGCATCCAAGAAGACATCTACACTTGAAGAAGACGTGGAGAGCTTCTTAAGTGATAGGGCTAAGGCATTGTAAACGGAAGTTTTTACGAGCTTAGTGGAACAGTGGACTAGAGGAACAAGTTGTTCCTTGAACCACTATAAAAAGCCCTGGTGTCATTTACTTACTGCTTTACATTCATAGTTTTCATTTAAACTGTTTAACTCCAAAGACTTGGTATCTGTGTTCAGCAGAACTGGTCTTGTGAGTTAACAGAAGGCCTACTGCCTTTGCTTCTCTGAGGCTACTAACAGAACTCCCTACCAGAACCCCATCCGCTGCCAGTCTGTTCTGTCAACAGAACAGGCTATTCTGTTAAATCTGGTACTTAGCTTGAAAAAGTTAAAAACCAATACAGTCTATTCACCCCCCTCTAGACTGTATCAAGTACAACCGGGACCAACAAACTTGATTGGTTGTGGAGATGGATAGTGGTCGAATCTCATTAGTGGCAACTCTTTCTCGGATAAAATAACAGTCTATCTCAACATGTTTAGTACGTTCATGGAAAACTGGATTAAGCGCAATATGTCGAGCATCTTGATTATCACAGTAAAGAGATGCGGGACCTTCTTGAGGAACTAGAAAATCCCGAAATAACCATCGCGATCACAAAATCTCGCTGACTGTTACTGCCATAACACGGTATTCTGCTTCCGCAGAAGATTGAGATACAACAGATTGTTTCTTTGTCCGCCAAGAAATGGATGAGTTACCAAGGGTGATGAAGTAACTGATACTAGATTTGCGAGTAAAAGAGCAATTTGCCCAATCTGCGTCGCAATAACCTCAGAGCGTGAGGTCGGTTTCTGATGATAGGAAGATTCCTGGACCCGGTGTTTGTTTCAGACATCGCAGAACACATGTTTCCGCATCAAGGTATGTTTGACGTGGGTGGTTGATAAATTGACTGAGTTGACTAACAGAATAAACAATATCGGGATGAGTCACTGTGAGGTATAATAAGCGCTCGATAAGATAGCAGTAAGAAGAGGCATCCACCGGAGGGCTATCATCATCTGGTTGGAGTTTTAAATTTTGCTTCATGGGAAACTGAGAAGGACGTCCTGCGAGCATACCACTTTCTTCAAGGATATCAAGGGTGTACTTACACTAACTCAAGTCAAAACCGTCGGGAGAGCGAGCGACTTCAATGCCGAGAAAATATTTCAGTTCCCCAAATCTTTAATATTAAACTCAGTGTTTAAGTACTCTTTGACTCTACCAATGTGAGTGATGTCATTTCCTGCCAGAATTACGTCATCGACGTAGATGAGAGCAAACGTGGAAAGTGAGCCTTGTTGGAAGATAAATAGTGAATGGTCAGCTTGCGATTGACGGAAACCAATTTTAGTGAGAGCTTGAGTGAATTTATGATGTTAATTATGAGATGCTTGACGTAACCCATAAAGTGATTTCCGTAATTTGCAAACGCGAATGTCACCAGCCCTTTTAAAACATTGGGGAATACGAATGTAAACATCTTCATAAAGATCTCCGTGAAGAAAGACATTGTTTACGTCCGATGTACTACCCACTGACGTTTGACCGCAACCGCTAGTATGCAGCTTACAGTAACAAGTTTGGTGACGGGGGCAAAAGTCTCATGAAAATCAATTCCCTCAACTTCTGTATATCCTTTAGCTACCAATCTAGCTTTATATTGTTCCACATCTCCATTAGGCTTATATTTAGTCAGAAAGTTAGTTAAATAAATTATCGAAACATACTGCGAATTATTTATAAACATAAAGCGCAGTATGTTTCGGTATTTTATTTAACTGACTTCCTCGTTGAACTTTAAGATGAAATTTTGTGAATGTAATCAATGGATGAAGAATATGCTCAAAAAGTTTCATAAAAAAAACCTCAAAAAGGGCCCCAAATGACCTCATCCTGATATGAATTGTCCTCTCTCTATATGTATATATATAAAATGATGGGCCGCTATTAGGGATGCAAATGAGCCGAGCTGCTCATGAGCTGCTCGTGAGCCGCTCGGTCAAAGCTCGAATCGAGTTCGGTCAAACTTGAGCTCGAGCCGAGCTCGAGCCGGCTCGTTAAGCAGTCGAGCCATAAACGAGTCTATTAATTATAGGCTCGCTAGCTCGCGAGCCTAGTTTTATGTGTGTATATTTATCATAATATATAATATATGAAATATAATCACACAATACAAATTAATATACAATATATATTAGTATATGTATATATATAATATCGATTGGTAGTAAGGATGTAAAAAATTCTCTCTCTAAAAGTGGTAGTTCCTAGCAAAGTCTAGGGTTGAGTTTTGGGCCGTGAGGATTGATTTCCGACGTCGGCATAGTTGTGGGAAGCTTCGTCTTCAGCCGTTGGCGAGCTACAAGGGGATTGATGCTTCGGAAAAGACCACCTGGTGAGCACCTCCGCGGCAGAGCCTTGTGGTAGTGTTCCGTAGCAGAGTTTTGTTTGTAGTATTGTAGATCCACAGCAGAGGACAAATTGTTGAGCATTGAAACAAGGGATGTGGAGGCATTTCGCTTTTGGACTGATTTTGCTCGTGCAATTTTTTGGCCAAGAGAGGGAGACGACTTGTGGGCATATGAAAGTGATGAATGAAAAAGATGAAGTAATGAAAATCCGTTCCCCTCTTGAACCATCGCCGTGGAGGATTTGTGCGACTAGGGTTTGGAAGACTTATTTACTTTTTTTAGTTTTTTATTTTCAGTCCAGACTGTTTTACTATTCATATTTTGTTCTCTTTGACAAGCAATAAGGGGGGTAGATTGGTGTTTTGGTGGATTTTAGTTGATAGATTACTGTTTGGAGGCAATCGGGCTGATTCAGCCGCTAATAGCCTCTATGCTCTCACAGTTTCAACGATTAGTCTCACTCTTTCTAGGGTGGACTATTCTATGTCTGATAATGACGTGACGAGACCGATGAACTTTGGTTTTGGATGGATAGCAAGGGAGTTAGGTCTTGACCATTTTTGATTTATTCAGGACAACATTTACTCTGCTTTTAGTTGTTGGACATGTAAATTGCAATTTGCAAATTTACAAATATTCAAAGATTAGTTCATATTTGAGCTCGAGTTCGAACCCGAACTTTCGAGCTAATCGAACTTGTAATTTTTGAGTTGACGAATCAAAATTATCGAGTCAATCAAGCTGAATCGAGCCATCTCAATACTCACGAGTAGAGCTCGAGCTCTCATTTTTTAAACTCGGCTCGAGCCCACACAATATATCCGAGCAGAACAGAGCCCAGATCTGCTCATTTGCACCCCTAGCCGCTATAAACGATGGGCCGCGAGGGAAGAAGTAAACGAGATAGAAGAAGGAGATGAGGAGGAGAGGAAGAAGAGATCTCCGACGTCACCTTCATCGGAACCGCTGTGTGAAGCATAGTTAGTTAAATACGGTACGGGAATTAAACGTGGTTTAATACACACGTGTTTTATTCGGTAACTTGAACAAAATATACGGTCAAAAATTCAGCAAAAAATACGTTGACTTTTATAAAACGTGTAAATACATATACGTGTATAATACGGCATCTCTTAGAAAAATTCGGGTTAAAAATACGGGCCTTATTTTGAATGATAAAATTATTGTACTAGTTTTTAGAGCATAAAACACATATAGTACATAAAGGATAATCAACATACACACATTCAAATATAATATCTCATTACTCCATCAAAAAATGCATTCGTAATATCATCTTGGAAAGTACATAAAATCCAAGACATAATTTTGCAAAGTAATGTCAGAAAATATGGCATAATAACGATAGAATGAGGCCAAGTTAACATCATCATCATCATCATCTTTACATGATCATCAATTAACACTCAAGTTAAACTCATCATTTTCACCTAGATGACGGATGACATGAGAAAGTTGTACGACTGCAACACTTATTATTGTTTGTGTAAAATTTATACTAAAAAATGTCAAGTTTAGAAAAACCTTAATTTTTATATGCTTGTTTGGAAAAGAACATCACAAATCTAATATGTAGTAGTATTTTAGATTTTAGTCTTTTAGGATGCTAGCTTTAGTCATCATGCAATTAATTTTAGTATTTAACAATTGTATATTTTGTATTGTAACAATACAAAAACACGGGGTCACGGGGATGATGTTTTCTTTTTTGTTTTTAAACTACTGTTTATCTCCTATTCATTTGATGTATTCATTCAAGTGATCAAATGATGTTTTTATTTTTTGTATAATACGGGAAATATACGTTTTATACGGGAAGTGGAAGTTTTTTTCCTTTTTAAACGGACCGACATTATTTTTCATTTTAAACGCGTTTTTTTGTTCAAAAAAACGGTACGTGTTTAAAACGCGTTTTAAACGCAAAAAAGCTAACTAGGGTGTGAAGAGCCGTGATTTGTATGCCCGTACGTGTGAGCTTGCCGACAGGGAAGAGAATTTAAAAGTCTATGGACTTTTTGAAAGTCAATAAACTTATCCATGGATTTAAAAGTCCATAGAATTCATTCACAAAAAAGTCTATGGATTTAAAAGTCCATTGACTTTTTTAAAAGTCCACGGATTAAAAAAAATCCATCACAATCCATATTCAATACACCTCCTGAGAAAAGAAATAAGGAGTAATAAATCAAGGGTAAATCTGGAATACATGGAAAACTATAGTCTTATTTATGTATAAAATCATTTAAGTCTTATTTAGGTATAAAAACCATTTGTCGTTATCTTCCAGTGACAATACGAATCCTCCCATTTTCTTCTCAACCATCTACAACCCTAGAATACTGCGCAATTCAGGGAAGAAGAAGACATCGCACTTGGGAAAATGGGGAAGCAACCTGTTAAATTGAAGGCCGTCATTTACGCTCTATCTCCGTTCCAGCAGAAAGTGATGCCTGGCCTATGGAAGGACCTTCCCGGCAAGATCCACCACAAAGTTTCCGAGAATTGGATCAGCGCTTCCCTCTTACTTGGTCCTCTCATCGGCGTCCACTTGTACGTACTACCATACTCCATTCTCTTATGCAAATCGGTTCTCATGCTGAAAAGATAGTTTTTCTTTTTTCCCGCTCCTGGCTGTATCTGCTTTTCTATAATCCTGTAGTGAGTGAATGATTGAAAACTATTAATATATCAGTACAAATTTAACATAAAATATGGGATGGCAATTTATTTTAGGTAGGGTGTACTGCACTATGAGATGATTCTTGAATGTACATTTTGTTGGTATGATAAACTATCAGGCCTTCGGATGAGTAATTGCAGTTAATTAGGATTTAGGATCATGATATACTCCATATTGATCACCTCAGTTTTGGCAGAGAAGAGAAGGAAGAGTTACATGGTTGATTCAATGTGTGATCTGAGTTTGAATTGACTAATTGAGTGAGATTTGTGCTGATTGCATTAGGTTTCAGTCTTATAGTATATATCTGAATAATGAAAAGGGAGAACCGTACTCAACAGAGTGAGGCAGTAGTCTATGTTGGAAAGTAGTAGCTCATTCTTGAATAATATGTTTTCTCTTTCCTGTCTTGGTAGACTGATTTAGATTGTTATATGTTCTTTTTTTTTGAGCAAAAAGATGGTCCCCTTGATAGATATGGAAATAACGGATAGATTGAGGACATAAATCCTCTAAAAAGGAAGCACTGTGTGCTTAATTATGAAAGGAATGCAAAAAAACACAAAATGAAAAGATAAAACGGTTCAAAAGTGAACAAAATATGCAGGCCACAGAAAGAACCAAATGGCTTAGTCGACCTCTTCCATCTTCAGGCCAGCACCACTGCCGCCAGCCTGAGCATCATCATCATCATCCATGTCTGGGGCAACACCACCCTGATACATCTTGGCGATTATGGGATTGCATATTCCCTCCAACTCCATCTTATCTTCAAACTCATCAGCTTCTGCAAGCTGATTGCTATCCAACCACGAGATTGCCTGATCAATGGCATTCTCAATCTTCTTCTTGTCATCTGAGCGCAACTTTGATCCAATCTTCTCATCCTTCACTGTGTTCCTCATGTTATAAGCATAGATCTCCAATGCATTCTTGGCCTCCACTTTCTTCTTATGCTCCTCATTCTCAGCCTTGTACTTCTCTGCTTCCTGCACCATCTTTTCAATCTCATGATCTTATCCTTAGACAGCCTGCCCTTGTCATTAGTGATTGTAATCTTGTTCTTCTGTCCAGTTGTCTTGTCCTCAGCAGAGACATTCAAAATGCCATTGGCATCAATGTCAAAGCAAACAGTGATTTGGGGACACCCCTAGGGGCAGGATGCAGGAGGGATACCAGAGAGCTCGAATTTACCCAGCAAGTTGTTATCCCTTGTTCTTTCCCTCTCACCTTCGTACACCTGGATGAGCACACCTGGTTGGTTGTCAGAGTATGTTGAGAAAACCTGTTCCAGTCCAAGAGACAGGGGGGTGACATCCAAAAGGAGCAAATCTTGAACCTTTTTATCACCCTCACCGCTCAAGATTGCAGCCTGGACAGCTGCACCATAAGCTACGGCTTCATCAGGGTTGATACTTTTACAAAGCTCTTTTCCATTAAAGAAGTCCTGAAGCAGTCGTTGGACCTTTGGAATCCTAGTTGACCCACCAACAAGAATAACGTCATGGCTGGTGTTCTTATCCAGCTTAGAGCGAAATGTCGTGTTTGAAAATGCAAAATCACCAATAATCATATCAAGTTCAAAGGTATCTGTGGAATCTTTCTCAACACATAACGTGGTCCAATCATTCAACATTTCTTTTGACAATAGTATTTCAAATAGGTTTTCAATAGTCATGTAGTCATCTCTGTTGTACAACTTAACTAAAAAAAGGTCCCCTGATCCTTGGGTTATTACATTGTACTTCGAATTGTGACCAAAATATCCTAAAATAATGAAAGAATAAGTCTGTATCCCTCTATTTCAACATGACTCATAAATCACTACTCTCCAGTTTGTCAACTAAATATGTACTTTTTTGAATATGAAAACCATAAGTGTAGTTTGAGCTAAAAGGTAAATTTTAATATTACGTCGTACTCCGTATAATATACTTGAGCGACACACAAATCAATATTACACCCAAAGACAACACTTTCCCAGTTTCCCTGTCTCAAAAACATTCCTGCCAATAATGGTTTATCTATTTGTAAATGCAGGTATGTGAAGCATTACCAGGAAGCTGAGAAGTTGTCTCACAGATACTGAATGATTGATGAAGGGAACTAGCAGTTCCTATGTCCTGCAAAATCCCCCCCCCCCCCCCCCCCCCCTCCCTCTTGGAATTTTACTTGAAAATAAGCTGTGGGTAGTATGGTTTCAATTGTGTTTCCCTGCTATATATGGGAAATTGGGAATAATGCGCTAGTTAATTTTTTCTCATCTGAAAATAAGCTGAATACATTTCTTGATTGTTCTGGTTATTTGCTGGTACTACACTGATTTTTTTTGCGGTCTAACCGTCTTACATCAAGGTTAATTATGAAACTGCTGTGTTAATGACCTGTGAATTAATTTGAATCCTTAATGTTGTAGAAATGTACGGTATCACAGACCGTGTAATTTGAAAATGTACGGTATCTGTACATGTTATTTCCTACCATTCAAGATATATTCCAAAATTTAAACATGAATACATTTAGAGTTTAATTTCTAATTAATGTGAATAGATTATAATGATAACCAACATGACAAAGATACTACGCTTTCCCAAAAAAATTTGATTTTGACATTTTACAATATCTTTTTCAAAAATATATATTAATTCATTAATAAATAAAATGCAGTCAAAGTAGGACATGTGAATAGGGATGGATTCGGGCCGGGTTGGGCCCGGTCGGGCCGCCGGTTCAAGAATAGTGGGCCCGGGACCGGCCCGAGGGTTGGACGGGTCCGGTTCGGGCTGGGCCACCCGCCCGGGTCACGGGTCGGGTCTGGTTCGGGCCGGGCTGGTTAATTTTTTTTTTAAATTTATATTTTATAGTTTATAGTTTAATACTAGTATTAAAAACAAACTTCAATTGCATTTATTTGAAATCAAATAGGAACTACATTTGAAAATTAAAACAAACTTTAAGAGAAAAACATTTTGAAAATTGTAATCAATCGGAACTTCCCGCACCTCCCGATCCTTTGGCTTTGTCACATGACTTCATATGCTTGATTGTCATCCTGAATCCACCTGAAGCCCCCATGTTACATTTTTTCTCGCATCATTTGCAAATTCGGTACCACATCCCGGTCTTCGGGTCCTTCTGCTTATCAAAATTATACCGTATAATGGCATCTTGATTTTCCATCTTAACTTCTTAAGTATAAACTATAAAGTAGATATATAAATAATAAATATAATATATTGGAGAATAAGAGAATTAGAGAGTAGAGAGTTAAGAATAGGATTTAGGAAGAATTGGAGAAGAGATATGAAAAAATGTTTAAGATTAGGAGTATTTATAGGTTTTTTTACCCCCCACCCCCCCCCACCATCCAACCCCCCGGACCCCCCCTTTACCCCACCCAACGGCTATATAGCCGTTTGGGTTGTCCCCAGCCCCACCCCCAACGGCTAGTAGGAGCCCAAACCAAATTTTTTTTTAAATTGAACCGAACCCGGAGCCGGGTCACAATAATGCTGAACCGAGCCCGCCCCGCCCCTTCCCACCGGTTTGGGCCCATACCCGGTCCCGGACCGCCCGACCGGGCCGGTCCCGGGCCCGCACAGTACCGGGCCGGGCCGGGTCACGGGCCGAGTGGCCCGAACCGAATCCAACCCTACATGTGAATAGTGTAAAAATTTAACATGTTGCATTTATTTAAGGATGAATGTAGTATAACCTAATAGAGATCCTGAATTATTTTGGTATGGATAAACCATATAATGAATAACACCTAGATTCTTAAAAATGTCTAGTGTTTTTTCATAGAGGCAAAAACGAAGAGGCAAACTAACACCTCACTTTTATGTGTTTCTAGGGTATATTTGTAATGTATAGATTGAATCATCACAGAGGCAAACATAACACCTCACTTTTATGTGTTTCTAGGGTATATTGTAATGTTTAGTTGAATTAATTTGAATGATAGATCTTCGTTTTAACAGTTTATGAGAATATTTCTGGCTACCACTCAGGTTAGGACTATGGCTTCCCAACTGAATTCAGCTTTCCCGACAGAGGAGTTCAAGTTTTATTTGTCCAACGCCGAGTGGAAGCTATTGTTGATTCCGAAAGAAGGAGACGAGGCGGTTCAAAGCGCGTCCGCCAAGCTCAATATTCCAGCGGTTTCAGCTACACTTTCCGTCGTTGAGACGGAGATCGGTCTCTCTCCCGCTCTTCTAGATTCCAACCCCGATTCAATTTCCAATCTGATTAACGCTCAGTACTGACTGAGCTTATCAAATCCGGCACCACAAGCCACCGCAAGGGCTTTCCACTTACTCGGTCTAACCTAGCCTCTTCAGTAAGCAATATCAAATCCGTGTTGCCTTTGTTTCACGTTCACAAGTTGATTGCCAGGTTGTTGAGTTTGATCACAGCCAACTGGTGCGTGACGCTCCCAACCACTGGGAGGTTATGTGTGTGGACTTGTTAGCCAGACATGAACAATTCCAACGCCACTTGGTACATGGCCGTGCCAACCATACAACAAATCATATTGGACCGTCATCTCAGCAATCCAGAACCCGTTTACCCAAGGCTTCGGTTCATTCGGAGCTGCAGTGCTGCCTTGGCGCCATCCATATTGATTCAGCAGGAAGAAGCGTTTGAGGCCCTTTTCTGGAGGTGTACGCAATGATAGAAGTGACCCTTTTGATTGCTTGGAACACATTTCCGGGAAATCGGCCTCATGTGGCCGGATCCATCAGGAAGCCCATTGGTCAAGAGATGGCAGTACTTGGTGAGAATGGCATCATACAGGAGGCAGGTTCTGTTAGAACCGGAGGATAAAATTAGTATATTATAAGGGTGTGAAAAATATGGTTGGACCGGATATCACTTCTAGTCACGTATAAATACGCTTTCCTAAAAGTTTACTATCTACCCTTATCACAGTAACCGGGTTACAAGATAGAACTTTTGGGATAAAAAGAAGGTGTACAAGTGTATTTTAGCTACTGATAAAATAACACTTAACAAGTGATTTGTATATAAAGTGATCTAAACACTTAAATACTAACGCTGCAGATATTAGTATTCAATAAGGAAAGAGAAGACTGAAAAATTAATCTTTTTATCTCGATCAAATGGTCCTGCTATTTATAATGGAAAAATTCTTTGCATATCGGCAGTTAACAAACTGGCCGTATGTAAAAGTCATATACGTTCAATTAAAAGGTGCGGCTTACATTCTATGCAAATCGGCAGTTATCAAAACGAAAAGGTGCGGCTCTTTATAAAAAATATATACATTCTATTAAAAATATTTCCATGTAATTTACTTTAAAATTTGAACACAAAAAGGTGCTGCGCCAAAGTACGTACATGGATGGCCACTTCTAAAACTTAACATTTACAAAGAGCACAAAAGTGCAAATGTAATAAAGTATTATTATTATAATTATTATGACACTACAACGTGCACACATGTAGTTCTCATAATATCTATATTAAATATTACTTTAACACCATTTAACAAATCACACCATTTATTTATAAAAAAAAATTAAGGACCATGTAGTATAATAATTGAGCTTTACTTCAATAAATTTCCAACAATCCTCCTCCATTTATTGAAAATAAACATGCTCAATCCTTGCCAAATAGACCACTTATCAAGATTTATGCATAATGAAAGTGTCGTAAAGATTGAACTTTCATTTAGTGCAATATTCTTTACAATATTTCGGATCATAATAGTAGACTAAGCTTTGAACTATATAACCTCTTTGGAATATTGAAGATATTACACACATAAACCTTTATACAATTTCACTTAGAAACTTGACACTATTAACGGCCTTGTGTCCATATCCATTCATGAGCTCCAACAAGTAAAGCTTTAAACTTGGTGAATCGGCCGCCATTCTAGCTCACATAGGTAGACCTTTTCAAACTGTGTTCTGCAATCAAACACTTTATCAAAAGATCTATTAAGACATAGTCAACCTCATTACACATTGCAGACTCAAGCACTTACCTCGAGATGGTTATTATTCAAACGTGCTCCAACCACAGAGTGACTTACTCATCGTCATTGAACTCAAGATCTAGCGTTGTACTAGACGTTGAGTTGGGCTTTCTTTCACTTGTGATTATTTTCTAAGGGCTTTAACCCCATCCCTTTTGCAGTTTTGTACACCATATCTCTTGGCATTGCTTTTGTAAAAGGATCCGCCAAATTCACATGCGACCGTACAAAATCAATCACAACAACTCCAGAACTAATAAGTTCCCGCACATAGCTGTGCCTCACTCCTATGTGTCTTGACTTACCATTGTACACATGGTTATAAGCTTTCGACAGAGTTGATGCGCTATCACAATGGATTGATATCGGAGCCATAGGTTTAGGCCATATTGGGACTTCTGACACTAAATCCTTTAGCCATTCTGCTTCTTTACAAGCTGATGCTAAAGTTATAAACTCCGAAGCCATGGTAGAGTCCGTGATACAAGTTTATTTCTTAGATGCCCATGATATAGCACCTCCTCCAAGAAGAAATAACCACCCACTTGTGGATGAATAATCCTCTTGATTAGTTAACCAACTCGCATCCGTATAACCTTCTAATATAGAGGGTTCACTCTTGTAACATAAGCCGAAGCTCATTGTTTTCTTTAGATATTTCAGCACTCGCCTCAAGGCTTGCCAATGAAATATACTAGGATTACTAGTATATCTACTTAGCTTTCCTACCACAAATGCAATATCTGGTCGGGTGCTAGTCATTGCATACATCAAACACCCAATCACCCTAGCATATTCAAGTTGTGATACAGCGTTCCCACTATTTGGAACTAATTTCCAACTAGGATCCATGGGAGTGGAAACCGGTGAACAATCCAAACTCCCAAATCTTTTCAACACTTTCTCTATATAGTGAGATTGTGTTAAGGTGATAGTATCACCTTGCTTGATTATCCTAATTCCAAGGATAACTTCCGCTTCACCCATATCTTTCATGGAGAAGTTTGAACAGAGGAAAGCCTTTGTCTCATTTACTTGCCTAATGACACCATTACCATGCTCATTAAATTTGCTATATACGCACTTGTCTGATTGGTTTATTTTAAAACCATTTTTTAGCACCACTTCATCAAATCTTTGATGCCATTGTTTAGGTGCTTGTTTCAGACCATACAAGGACTTGACAAGTTTACAAACTTTCTTTTCTTGTCCTTTAACAACAAACCCTTCGGGTTGTTTCATATACACTTCCTCCTCCAATTCACCATTTAAGAATGCAATTTTGACATCCATTTGGTGAATCACAAGATTGTGAATGGCTGACAAAGCAATTAACAATCTTATGGTAGTTATTCTGGCTACCGGTGCATATGTATCAAAGTAATCAATACCATGTTTTTGTTTAAAGCCTTGTGCAACCAATCTAGCTTTAAACTTGTCAATGGTACCATCTACTTTCATTTTCTTCTTGAAAATCCATTTACAACCGATTGGTGTGCAACCGGGTGGTAAATCACTTAGAACCCAAGTATTATTGCCCATGATTGAATCCATTTCATCATTCACGGCCTCTTTCCAGAAGGAAGCATCTTGTGATTTCATTGCCTCCTCAAAAGAGTTAGGATCCTCCTCAACACTATAACAATATAGTGTTTGAGTTTCAAGGGTCTCTCTTGATCCCTCAACCAAATACAATTGAAAATCAGGACCAAATGACTTTTCTTTTCTAGCCCTCTTACTCCGTCTAATTTCAGGCTCATTTTCATGACCCTTTTCCAGTTCATGAAAATTTGAATTACTTGGACTGAGATCAACATTTTTTGGCTTAGGAATAGAAGTGAACCGCTTCTCATCGAAAAGAGCATCCCTAGACTCAATAACGGTATGAACCGCAATTGAGTCATTCGGTTCAATAACATAGAATCGATATGATTTGCTATGTTCAGCATATCCAATAAATATGCACTCTATCCCCTTTTCACCTAACGTTTTTCGTTTAGGTTCCGGTAATCTCACGATTGCCCTACAACCCCATACCCTAAGATAACTTAGTTGGGGTGTTCTTTTGTGCCAAAGTTCATATGGGGTTATTTTATTTCTCTTGTTAGGAACTCGATTAAGAATATAACAAGCAGTTAACATAGCATCACCCCAAAATCCATTACTTAAGCCCGAAATAGACAACATGGAATTAACCATTTCTTTTAAAGTTCTATTTTTTCTTTCAGCTATGCCGTTTTGTTGCGGCGTGTAAGGGGCTGTTGTTTCATGGATTATTCCAACGGATTCAAAAAATTTAGGCTCATAATATTCTCCTCCTTTGTCAGTTCTAAGCCTTTTTACTTTCTTTCCGGTTTGTAACTCAACTTCCGTTTTAAAAACTCTGAATTTATCCATTGCCTCATCTTTTGAAAATAAAAGGTATATGTAACAATATCTTGTGCAATCATCAATAAATGTGACTACATATTTTTTATTTCCAAAAGAAGGAGTGCTATGGAAATCACACAAATCACTATGCACTAATTCAAGCATGTTGGATTCTCTTTCAACATTTTGAAAAGAATTTCTAGTGATTTTGTTTAACATGCAAGTCCTACAATTTTCTATGTTCATATTAAAAGGAGGAATTAAACCTACTTTAGACATGTCACTTAGTCTACGATAATTAACATGACATAACCTATTGTGCCACAAAGTAGAATTACTAACCATATACACAGAATTAACAACTTTATTTACAATACTTAGTTTGAACATGCCATTACAATAGAAACCTTGGCCAACAAATACACCACCTTTAGATAAAATAAACTTATTTGCTTCAAAGCTAAGTTTAAACCCAAAGTTATTTAGGATGCCACCAGAGACAAGATTTTTTCGGATTTGTGGTACAAAGTACACATCATTAAGAATTAATTTCTTTCCGGAAGAGAATTCCAACTCTACTTGCCCAATTCCTTGAATTTGCACAATAGAGTCATTTCCCATGTATAAGATCGGCCCCTCTTGCAACTCTTTTAAAGTCTTAAAAGCTTGCCTATCTTTACATACATGTCTTGTTGCTCCGGTGTCGATCCACCAAGATTCATCATCCTGCACAACACAAATTTCAGAAAGCATAGCTACAAAAATCATGTTGTTATCAACATCATTTGTAACTATAAAAAGATTCTGACCTTGGTTGTCTTGGCCACCATTTGGATGGCCGTTCGGTTGGGCTTTCTTCTTCTTCACCTTCGGGCAGTCCCTCTTGAAGTGTGGACCACCACATTCCCAACAAGAGCCTACTTTCTTATCTTTCGGCCTCTTTTGAAACTTGGAACCTTTGGTGAATTTCCCGGGACGTTTTTTATTTTTCTTAGTCGCACTCGATTGTCCCTCCTCCATTGTCACCTTCACGCAACTTAATGCCTTCTTCAATTTGAAGTCGGCGACCAAGTTGCTCCATTGACAAATCCTCCTTTTTGCGTTTGAGGCTATTTTTCACTTCCTTCCATGTAGGTGGTAATTTGTCGATAATAGAACCGACCGCAAAGGTTTCATTAACATGCATGTTATGAATCAAAAGTTGATCATATAAACGCTGAATCTCATGAAATTGCTCCATGACCGGACGTGAATCCACCATTTTGTAACTATTAAAGTTACTAATGAGAAATTTCTTACTTGAAGCATCCTCGGTCATATATTTAGATTCTAGAGATTCCCACAGCGTTTTAGCATACTCAACATTTTGATACACATCAAATAGAGAATCGCACATACCGTTCAAAATGTGCCCACGACAAATGTAG